GCTTGGTGGAAATATGTTTGTTGTATTTGCTGCCAAGCTGCAGAGTTCAATTTCCAGGAATTTTTGGAGGTTTAGTATATGATTTAAACATCCTTATATAGAATATTTTTTCCTTCTAAAGATCCTTTTTACCATCTTGGCCATTTTTTTTTCTTCTCAATAAAAGATAATTGGAAATTTACCGTAGTTTCAAACTTTGAAAAAAATTGTTTAAGCCAATACCTATGCTTTGAAATATCATACTGCTTTCTGGAAATTTAATATTAGAATACAGAAAGCAGAATCAAATTATAAATCTACTTTTCTAGAAGATGCTGAAATTTTTTGGAAGATAACTTATAAATTTAGATTTTATATTTTAAAATATCCTTGAATATTCTAGAAATACATATCTACATTGCTTTCCAATTGTGTTCATTTCACAGACTTAGATAAAATAGCCTCCTTTGCCTATATTTATATAGAGAGAGCTATATATATGTATATTTATTTATTTGACTAAACAACAGGTATTCTTTAATTCAATACTAAACTATTTTATTATTTTTCTCTGGCTAATCTAGTATGACAAAGAAATGCTGGTTTTTTGTAAGTAAAGCCTCCTAGTCCTTCTTATCACTTCCTTGCTGGCATCTCAGAAATTAGAGTGATGAGTGGTCAATGATAAGAAGAAGAACAGAGAGGAGAAAAGAGAAAATAGACAAAACAGGTGTTACAAAAAAATTAGGACAACAGCCCATAACCTAGCACCTGAGTTCCACCACTGTGGAACTGTTCTACCACTAAGTGACTTGGGCATCAATGTTCATTCACCTATAAAATGAATATCAGAGTCAAACATTGCTAAGAGTCCCACTGGCTCTGCAGTACTTTCCATGAGGTAAGACCTCTTTTCCTTTCACCTGAAATTCTTAGTTAAAAACAAATAACATATCACTATTTTTTCTGTCCCCAATATCATGACTATTAACAGCATCTCTAGCTGCAACCTGGGAGGTCACAAGCCCCATAATACCTTAAAACTGGCATCTTCTGTATCCAAAAGAAAAAATGGGCTGGAGGATATACTCATAAGGGCTGCACGGCAGACTTTAGAAATGAGGCCTGCACATGTCTACTCTGTAAAAAAGCCTTGCTGACTTTTGACCTGCCTTAGTATTATTTGAAGCAGCTTACTGACATTGCCAATAACATCACACATAATAGAACACACATCTTGTAAGTGAACCACAGATAGTGCCAGGCAACATAAAGAATTCAGGAAATACACACTTAAAATGTAAACTGTGTCAACAGAATAGCTACTGAAGGATCTGGAAGCAAACACACAAGCTGCTTCTCTGAGGTTAAGTAACCACATTTTAGGATTCCTCAATGGCTGCTGCCATAGTCTTGCTTTTAAAAGCCTCCATAATTTCTCAAGACATCATGTTTAACAAAAAGCCACATCTATTTCCCCCAATAAAGATTTAGTTTAACATTACTGGATATTTTTAGGGCACAGAAATAAAGCATGCCTTCCAGAGATTGGAAAAAAGAGAAAAACAGCCTTTTAGAATTAGTTGGTACCACTATTCTGAAGCTTGTACTGTCCTTTTCAATCCTTGCAGAGAAACAATTAATAAAGGAATCCATTAAGACCTGATTATTGCTGCTAAAAAAGGAAGGTAGAATTTCAGTCCTTTGAAGTAACTGAGAATGATTCAGGCCTCATTACAGAGATATAATCTACATTCATACATTTATGTTAGTGATTCAAATCTGTTGGGAGAGATTGAATTCCGTTAAATAGTGCATCTTTCCTGTGGAACTTTTCTCAGGCTTTCTCCAGCTAACCTAAGAGGTGACCTAACAATGCAAAGCAGTGGAGTATTTAGGGATTCGACTGTGCTATAAAAGAAAGGCTGTACAGAAAAGAGAAAGAAGAATGAGATATAATCTAAAAAGCTATGTCAGCTTTTCCTTTGGGCTGTTTCCTAAATGCCCTTCCTGTCATCACGATGTACAGAAGAGCCACGAAAGGGCTCTAGAACTTTTAAACACTGCACCTGCTGTAACCAGATTTTAATATGGAGTTTTCAAGATGTGTTTTTCTCATTTAAGACAGAATAAAAACACAAAGTTCTAGCTTAAAGGTGTGAACAGCTTCTTCTCCTGGATAAGAAAGTTGATAGATGTCTGTATGTGTGCTGCCTGTGTGAAAGAGACAGAGAGAGAGACAGAGACTATTTTGAGATTCGAGGTGGGGAGGAGATGTCTATTGTCAGTTACCAAAAAAAAAAAAAAATTAAAGGCGCTCAAGCTGGCACCAATATTGTTGAATCTACAATTATCTCATTAAAAATTTCAATTACAAGGAGTTCCCTGTTGGCCTCATGGTTAGGATTCCGGGCTTTCATTGCCATGGCCTGGGAAAAAAAAAAAAAAAAATTAAAGGCTCTTAAGCTGGCACCAATATTGTTGATGTCCATTGTAGAGAAACCTCAAACTAATAACTTCCTGTGTTTTGTAAGTTTTCATGGCAGGATCTTTATTGTATGGTTTCATCAAACATAACTTTTAAAACACTGTAGTTTTAATTAGTTGTGCATTCAAACATTTGGATTTTGCTGAACAACTGGACTGAAACTCTCGTTCTTTAGCAACACTAGACTTTTTTTTCCGGCATTTTTTTCAGCTCAGGTATAAAACTGTGAACTAGAAAATTGAAATTAGTACCATGAGCTTATTTTTTAAATATCCAGGCTTTAATGAAAGAATCAGACTTGTTTGACACAGGCTCTTTATTTGCTTAACTCTCTAATTAAGAACTACAGAAATCAGAGCTAATTATATTAAATATGAAAATCTACTGTGTCCACTACACTGCCAAAGTCTTCTAAATAAGCATTGTAGTTTTTTTTAAATAATGCAATTAAAATCCTGATTCTAGTATTAAAATGTTCTGTTTCAAAGACCCTGAATGCACAGGAAAATAGAAGAGCATGTGTGTAAAGTCTTTTATCAGGTCACCAAACAATGATTTGCGATATTCCTAAATCCCATTTCCAAAGCTAGATTTTTTCCTTTGCATTTTCTCCTGTTCAATGTAGACTAAGACCAAATGCCCATTGTAGGGGCTGTGGTTTGTAGTATATACACAAGCTCGCCTGATTAATTCTCTCCAAATTACAGTTACAGAAGTCACACTCCCAAGTTCATCTTGAAGTGATTCTCCCTCCTAAAATAACTGCCTAAAAATTAGGGTGAACCATATGAAATTGCCACTTTTGAAGGTCAAAAACCATAAAATATTGGCAATTTCATGTGTCCAACTGCCTCACATAAATACTTTATATGATTTATCTTCAGTGGCTCCTCCCAGTCAAGCTTGCCTCCTCTCAGTCAAGTCGTTCTTGAAGAGAATCTCCAGGAATTCTCACTCAGATTTGAAAGGATTATCACAGTATCTCCTTCTTTGTGTCTCTTAATCCTTGACAAAGGCTTCCTAGTCTGGGACTTGATTCCGTCTGTACCTGAGACAGGAGCAAGTCTGTCAGCGATGAAGGAGTTGCAGGGTGGTGAGTGTGAAAAAAAGGTGACTGGTGGTGCAGTTATATTTTAAAATAGAGCCATTTAAACATTAAAATTGAATACAGAAGAAAAAAAAAATACCCCTTCATGGCAAAGTGCAAAGGAAATTGCCTACCAAAACAGAATATTCTGCCAAATCGTACGGTTAAATCTTCGCAATCTCAATAAAGGCGAATTCGCTTTGAAGTGCACGCGTGATTCTGTAAATGACCCTTGTGAGCAATTAGAAATCGGTCATTTCGGTTCCTGATTTCATTTGCGCTGAGAGGGGAGACTTTTAAGGGTGGTGATAAATCTCCCTGAGCTTAAAAGGCAGAGAGGGCCAAAGTGTGAACTTTTTACTTCAGCAACGGAAGCGAGAAATCAGAGATTCATTAAAGCAAGAGACCTCCTTGGAAGCTGGCAGAAGAGGAAAGGAAGCTAATTATGTCTTCCTTTTCTCTGCTTGTCCCACCAGTTTATAATCTGCTGCTTTAAAAGGTTTATCCTTAGCATCTTCTGCCGTCTCCCTCAACCCTCCCCTCCTGGGAGCGAGGAGAATAAAAGTCAGCCAAGCACCAGGCTCCAGGTGGCTCTCAAGTACTTCACTGCCAAAAGAAAAAAAAAAAAAAAATCGTAGGCTGGAAAACAAGTGAGAAAGGGGCTCCCCAGAGGGGACTGGTTCAGACTGGAAGGCAGCAAGCAACACTCGGAAAGCGCGAGGGCACAGCTCGCACCAGTCACCCGCGCGCCGAACACAGGGACGCTTTCGCTGCAATTAGCACGAGCTGGAGGCGCTGGCGGAGCTGCCGGCTGCGGCGGCCCCGGGGGCCGGGCAGGGTCCCGGAGCTCCGGGCAAAGGCATCACGCTCCCTTCTCCGGGCTCCCCTGCTCTCCCCCGCTCTCCCAGCCCCTTCCCCCTCCCTCTACCCCCCCGTCCCCCCCACCTCCGCTTCTCCACCCCTGCAAATGAGGTTTGACCAGCGGAGGCAGAGCCCACCTCTGGCTTAGAATCACTGACATTTAGACTCCAGGCTTCAACCTGTTTACAAGCGGGCTTTCCAAAGGAAGGGGGGTGCGGGGGGGAGGGAAAGAGGGCCAAACAAAACACCAACCGCCATCCCCCCCGCCACCCCAAACAAGAAGTGACTTTCTGGAGGCTTCAAATCAACAGGCACCACCAAAAAGAGAAAGCAACAGGGCGAAGAAAACAACGGCTACCCCGGCAGCCGCCTCCGGTTCTGACAACTCCGAGGGACGCACTTTGAGAGCTGGCTAGCGAACCGGGGGCTGGTGCGGAGAAGGACTAGACGCTGCCAACCGCACCGGGGCGCAGATAGCTCCCCCAGCCTCCCACCCCGACCCTTTGGGGTGTTGTTCCCCGGCTGTCATCTGTTTTTCAGCCTCCCCCCCACCCCACCACCACCCCTGCATTTAACATGGTGAAAAAAGGAGTGAAGAAGAGAACAAAGTAAGCTCCTGGGGGAGTGAAGAGCGAGCGTGACCCACGCCACCACCAGCTCCTGCTACTGCGGCCACCCACGTCCACATTCACCAGGAGACCCAGGGGCGCGCGGCAGCGAATCCGAGAAAGGAGCGAGGAGAGGCAGCCGGCCCTTCCGCGGAGTTATGGATGTTGGTGCTTTCACTTCTGGCCAGATCCGAGCCCAGAGGGAGCTAACCAGCGGCCGCCACCTCCAGCTGTCTCCTTGCCTCGCACCAGGTCTTACCCTTCCAGTATGTTCCTTCTGATGAGACAATTTCCAGTGCCGAGAGTTTCAGTACAATGTGGAAATGGATTCTGACACATTGTGCCTCAGCCTTTCCCCACCTGTCCGGCTGCTGCTGCTGCTTCTTGTTGCTGTTCCTGGTATCTTCCGTCCCCGTCACCTGCCAAGCCCTCGAGCGGGACATGGTGTCACCAGGGGCCACCAACTCCTCTTCTTCCTCCTCGTCCTCGTCCTCCTCGTCCGTCTCCTTCCCTTCCAGTGCGGGGAGGCATGTGCGGAGCTACAATCACCTCCAAGGAGATGTCCGCTGGAGAAAGCTATTCTCTTTCACCAAGTACTTTCTCAAGATTGAGAACGGGAAGGTCAGCGGTACCAAGAAGGAAAACTGCCCGTACAGTAAGTAACAAATGCGCGCTCCCCTCCTTCCAATTATCCACCCCCACCCCACAAGGGGGGTAAAATCTGTTCCAGATGTGGCCAGCTAAATATTTACGTCCCCAACTCCTGTAAAATGATTAAGTGGAATACTTTCACACTAAATCACCCCCCCGCGCGCGCGCGCCCCGTGTATGCGCTGCAGCACCCCCTCCCCGCGGCGCGCTCCCTCCACACCCCCCACTCTCTTGGCCACCCCATTTGCCCTGTCTCCTTGGCTTGTCACTCGCAGGACCACGCAGGGCGCCCAAGAGTTCCCTCAGTGCATGGATGCCCCTCTCTGTCTCCAGCGTCCTTCCCCACCTCACCCCAAGGTCTCCTTTCCCTCCAATCTGGAAATGGCTCGAGTGAACACATTTCGTTCTTTTCGCTGGCAATCTTATTAAGAGTTTCAGAACAGTTTCCGCAAGCTGAAAATAATTATCCGCTGTCAATTGCAGGGACTTTATGGGAACTTTATTTAAGAGAGAAAAGTCATATTCACTGTCTCCCCACCCCCATCTCTTTACCCCACCACCCGGTCTCGGTCTCCGTAGGAGGAAAACAGTTTTCTGGTTTTGATTTTTTGTTGTTGTCGTTGATCCCTCTTGTTGGTTTGAGTGATTGCAGTCCATGAAGTTAGCTTTTCAGGCACCACCGCTGCTATTTGTCTTCTGCCTGCCTTCTCTGGTAACATGATGCTCGCGTCTGCGTTGTCAATAGCATATGCGCTGCTTTGTGGTGTCCGTTGGATTCGTTTCTGCTGAAACCTCTCATATTGCAGAGGCATAGTACTACAGTGCTATAAACATCTGGGACTGGAGTCACACAGACCTCACACAAATTTCATTGTCATTCTCTTATTTTCAAAGTAAAAGTCATAAGTCTGTTTCCATGGTTATGGTTTATCCCATAGGATGAGGTTTCCTCCTCAGTACAAAGTATGCCCCATCCTTCAATTTCTAGGCTTTTTCCTTTCTCCTTCCCTCTTTCTTTCCTTCCTTAGCTCTTTCTCTTCTTTCTTTCTCACAGGGATGTGGGCTGGGTAGGGGGAGAGAGAACTAGAAGAGGAGGGGTGGACATTGTGTCTCTTCTTGAATCAGTCCAGCAAAGCCAGATTACTCTGTTGGCTTCCTTTCCTGCTTACTTTCAAGTGGTGAGACTTATTCCTCCTCTATTGATTGCAATTTGAAAGGATCCCGAGGCTGTGTAATGGCACAATGAAGACAGTAGACAATGACTTTAAACATCTTTAATGACTTTAGCATTATCTCCATGGTGCTTCCAAGTCACCTTTTCAAGGGACTTTTTTGTGTCAGTTGTTTGGGAATTCCAAGCATATATTAATATTTGCTAGCTAACTTAAATATGAGAGTCATAGATTTCAGATTCCTTAGCCCAGAAAGTATCTGGTATTAATGGGAAAGACAGTTAACCAGAACTTTGCATTATCTTTTTAAAATAAAGATTTATAAGAATAAGACTTATTTTTCTTATTTGGAGACTCACATTCAAAATTAACTTATGTTCCTCCTCAGCTGCTACTTCCATGTACTAAAATAGCAATATGTTTACAAGTAATAAAAATATTTGTATAAGTGTTTTAAAGTATTCCATCTTATGTTTATCACCAGAGATGGACCTGTACTCCACTACCTACCAATATTTTTCCTGCTTTTATTCATTAGAAATAACTGAAATAAAGTCAGATATGATGACTGTTTTTGCTAAAATTTTTCCATGAATTTATTAGATATGATATATAAATGTTAGGTTATTAATTTAAATTTTTAATATTTTCATTCACTTCTAAAACAAAATAGTTATGGTACCATCCAGGTAGGATGATGGCGAAGAAGTGGTCCAACACTTACTGGAGAGTGAGCTGGGACAGGGACTGAAATTTTTCTTTGTATTTTTACTTTGTGGAAATAAAAGAAATATAATAAAATTTCAGAGTGTTATTCTTGAGCAAAATTTTTTTTTACAAATAACAATGTTATTGCTGTACTTTAAGTGTCTTTATAATGTGATGTAAAGACCAATTTATAGTAGTTTATTTATGTGTCTTAAATTACTATTTTCTAAAATAATGTTACACTGTGTGATTAACCATTTAGTAAGATGGTTTCCAGGGTACAGATTAAATATATATATTTTTACAGTAAGAATTATCTGCAAAAAGAAGAGTATATAATTTTTATCATATAAAAACAAGTGGAAATTTTTCACCCTAATTGTCTAAAGTACACTAAACTAGTCTTGCATGTGACAAATTATAACTGATAGTCCTTGTTAAAATTCTAATATCTTATATAGTAATGCAATCCTAATCAATGGTTGAAAATGAAAGGAGGTGGAGCCTGCTCTGTTAATGGCAAACCATAAGTAATTTAGGCTTGCCAAGAACATCTGTATCAAGACATAACAAGTGAATAGTAGAGGTTGAAAAAGCTTTAATTTCACATGTGGCTGGGTAATCAGAATGCTGCTACAATTTCCAGCTGGACTGATTCAGCCGAACTACATGGTATCATTAAGATATTGTCTAAATGTTGCATAATTACATGAGAACAAACTTTGCCATGCCTACAGGGTAATCAGCCAGCCAGCCCACCAAATGGTAGCCTGTTAAATATTAGGGTCTCTAACCTCTGAAGTTCCTTGTCCAAAACCACATTTCAGTAACATTTTCCTAAACAAGTTATTAATTATTCAATGTACAAAGCTGTTCTTTTAAGGTTTGCTTATTTGAAGCTTATTATTATTTGAAGCTTAATTTTCTGTGTTACTTTTGACCCTGGTATTATTGCTGCTAAAATACAGTAACAGCTTATCTCAGAGGCTACATGTTTGTGATGTCCTGAGTAATTAAATGACTGTTTCACTGGCTTTCTGCCAGCAAAATGCTAACAAAAGAGAAGTAAGGAAATCACCCATTAGCACTGCAAAATCATTTTTAGCTTCTACTTCCAAAGTTGGCTCCCAGAAATTGGATGGTTCTAAAAATATTACGTATGCTAGAGAAACTCTTCTCCATTTCAAGTGACTATTCTAATTTTTTAGTGGTGGGGTAATTTTTGTTTGCTCCTTTGCCATTATGTGAAAGTAGAATAAAGGGAGCAGTGATGAATTATGTTTCTCCTGCTAGAAGTCTGAGAAAGCCTGAATAATTTAGAATAGCTGTGGTGTATCTGTCACTAGATATGCTCAGGCTCATTTAGGTTTGTTTTATCATTCTTTACATCTAGAGCTTTGCCCTTGAAACATTACCACTCGACTCCAGCTCTGGCCTACTGGAAAGGCTGGCTACAGCTGTTAGTGGCCTTGCAACTGGGACTGGCGGTCTTATTTCTGGATGTGAGTAAAACAGCTGTGGGCTACTCCCATGATTGTCACTTATAGACAAGGGGAGTCTAGTGGAAAGAAAATGCATCCCTAAACTTGAGAGAGTCGAAGATAGATATTTTCAAAATGGAAAGCCATACCGCTAATTAGTATTTTCAGGGAAGGAGTATGGAAGATATTAGAGAAATCAGTGTGCACTGAATATGCAGGCTGTGCCCTCTGTCTTAAATATATACCTCATCTGACACTCATAATCACTCTATGGTTTAGATAAATCCACATTTTTCAAATATGAAAACTCACCCTCAAGAAAAGCAAATTGCCCAAGGTCATTCAACTGGAAATTGACAGAGCCAGATTCAAGCCGAAGTTGATTTGGTTTTATCATGACATTTCTTCTACCTCTCCACTACTGGCAACTTTGATGTCAATATGTCAGAAGTAGGCGCCGCAGGAAACTCTAAAAATCAAATTATCCAAATCCTTAATTGCGTCTTGCTGTGTACACCAGTTTTTTGTCAGAAGGAAATTGAAAGAGGAGTGAAATGACAGTGGGGCGGAATGAACTAGGTTAAAGTTATCATTGCAGGTGGCAAGATGGTATCAAACAATGTTAGTGCATTCTCTGTGTGAAATATCGCTTTTGATATTATGCTTGAGAATATACTTGCTTAGGGCACACAATATACACATACATTCATCTCACAGAAGGCATTAGAAATACATGACTAAGAAAAATCCATGAATATCATTGAATATAGTAATAGTTTACAGCTGAGGACCAAATGTTTCATGGTTTCCACATGTAATAAAACAATTTGATTGTAAATACAAGTGTGAAATTGGGCTGTTGAAGACTTCTGATGCATGACTCTAAAAGGAGCAAATCTTAGATACCTAAAGATTTAAAATGACTCTGCAAATCAAAAGGTACTGCACCGCATAGAAATGATAGATTATTGCCCTGTACTCAATCAAGGGCCTACCTGGTGGCTCAGAGGTTAAAGCGCCTGCCTGCAATGAGGAAGACCTGGGTTCGATCCCTAGCTTGGAAAGATCCCCTGGAGGAGGGCATGGCAACCCACCCCAGTGTTCTTGCTTATTTTAGGAAGAAGTTAAATAAGGTAAGGATATCATTTTTGAGGAAAATAAGGACTTGAATATTATCTCCTAATAAATATGTAACAGTTTTCCGGGAAGAAAACATACACAGCTTATGATTTCCACTGGTAACTTACTTAAGTTGTATTTTTTTTTTCTAGAATTTGGTTGCATAATTTATAACTGGCAGCATTTAATCATGAGGATTGAGGATTTATGAAGGTGGAAGGCACTATTTAATGTTTACATGACACTGTCCTGTTACCTTTACTACATTCCTACCATATGGACCCTCCACTTTGATGGATTTATCATAAGCCCATTAAAAATGCACAATTACAGAGAGTTTCCTCTTTACAAACCTGATTTATAACCATCTACTAGAAGAAACTCAAGAGAACAGTTGGCAGAAATCACATGCCAATAATGGAGTATGAGAATTTAGAGACCTCAGTCTCTAGGTTTTTGGGTAGTTTAGTAATCTAGTACCAAAAAGTATGTATCATTCTTTAAAAATAAGTTTTTTCAACGTA